AACCATATGACCTTCAGATCTCAGTCTCCTGAGTAGCTAGGATTATAGGCGTGAGCCACCGGCACCCAGCTTTAATTTTTATCAAATTAAAATATGTTCTTTATTTTAGAATATATTGGGAACACAAACATGATTGGAAAAATAAATTGAATTTCAGCAAAATTAAAAATGTGTGTAAAAGCTGGGTACTGGTGGTTCTCACTGGTAATGCTAGCTATTCAGGACGCTAGAATCTGAGGATTGCAGTTCAAAGCCGGCCCAGGCAGGAAAAGTCCATGAGACTCATCTCCAATTAACCACCAGAAAACTGAAGTGGTGTGGTGACACAAAGCGGTAGATGACTAGCCTTGAGCAATAAAGCTCAGGGATAGCACTCAGGCCCTGAGTTCAAGCCCCATGACAGAGAAAAAAAAGTGTGATAAAGGATACTACCGTGAAAATAAGCAGAAAACCAGAGGATGGAGGAAAATATTTGCAAATCAAAGAGAAGGGTCTAGTTTCTACAGTATGTAAAATACTCTTAAGTCGACAATGAAAGGACAAGTGATCCAATTTAAAAATGGTCCAATAAGCTGAGAGTAGTTCTGAGGGCTGAGATTACAGCAGAGATGAGAGGATCACAAGTTTCCGTTCAGCCTTGGCTACATACCAAGACAGTGCCCCAGAAGGAATAAACCAACAAAGAACTTGCATATTTCTCTAATGATTACACACACACACACACACACAATCCAACACCACACAAAAGATACAAAATAGCCGGGTACTGGCAGCTAATGCCCTTTCTTCTAGCTACCTAGGAGGGTGAGATCTGAGGATCATGGTTTGAAGACAGCCTGGGCAGGAAAGTCTGTGAGACAGTTATCTTCAATTAAGCAAAAAAGCTGGAAGTGGAGCTGTGGTTCAAGTAGTAAAGCACTAACCTTGAGCAAAAAAAGCTCAGAGACAATGTTCTAGCCCGGAGATCAAGCTCCAGGTACACAGATATTAAAAAAAAGAAAAAAAGAAAAAAAAGTTTGGAAACAGTTGTGGAGGGTTGCATAACACCATGAATGTAACCAACACCACGGAACTGCTCCCGTAAATGACTTCCTGCAGTGATGCGGAGCCCTGGTAATGCCTTCCTAGCCAAGTGTGCAGCCCTGGGTGTCTCCCCAGCAAGGCCCCTCCAAACAACAAAGCTAAAAAGGAAAATTTTATGTTATTTAGTTTTACTGGAAAAAAATGGAGAAAGAATGGAAAAAGTAAATATTGAAATATATGACCTAGAAAGCTCAACTCCTAGGTATATACTAAAAAAGCAGTAAAAACATGTGGGCAAGCAAAATCTTATCTATGAAAGATCACAGCAACATTCCTCACAGAGGCTTTTATTTTGTTATTAAAAAAGTTTTGAGGGGCTGGGAAGGTGGCTCAGTGGTAGAGCGCTTGCCTTGCATGTCTGAGGCCCTGGGTCCGATTCCTCAGCACCACATAAGCAGAAAAAGCCGGAAGTGGTGCTGTGGCTCAAGTGGTAGAGCGCTAGCCTTGAGCTGAAGAGCTGAGGGACAGCGCCCAGGCCCAGACTTCAGGCAGTATGACTGGCAAAAAAAAAAAAAAGTTTTGATTCTGAGGCTTAAGTAAATTTTCTTCAGCTCTGATGTTATTGCCACATATTATAACTACATATCAGCACATTATCATACTTTTTCTATTTATTACTCAAAATTTGTACACACACACACACACACACACACACACACACGAGTTTGGGTACGCTCTAAAAATTCTGAAGCCCCTTCCTCCCTCCCTCCCTGCCCCCGCTCAGCATGCTCCCTTCTCACCACCAGCTAGGGAAGTGTTCTACCACTGAGTTACACCTCCAGCTTTTATTTTCTAGTTCTGTCTTTTCTTCCTTTTTTCAGAATTGGAGATGAACTCAGGGCTTCCTGTTGCAAGGCAGCAGATCTTATGGTCTACAAAGCCAGGCGCCTAAGACAGAAAAGGGCCAATGCAAGGGGCAGTCTCAGGAGAGCAGCTGAGTGCAGGCCCTGAGAACAGGCCGGCCAGGTGGGTGCAGATGATACTAAGGCCAGGAAAATTATGAAATCATGAGAATCAATTCACAATGATGACTAACTTTATAGAGAGGAGATCAAGTGTAATTATTGCAAAGAAGAAATTCGGAGGCAAATCCCAGGGCAGCTGACCAGAGCTGATAGAGGGAAGCTCTTGGTGGAGCAATGGACTGGTGGTGCCTCTCTGTTCCCCGCTGCTGGGGTTTGAACTTGGGGCTTTGAATTATTATGGGGCCCTGCATGCTCACATCTGGTGCTCTATGACTTGAGCTACCTCTCCAGCCTGGCTTTTTGCTGGTTATTTTGGAGATGAAGTCTTGTGGACTTTTTTGCTCAGGCCAGTATCAAATCAAAATCCTTTGGATATCAGCTTCCTGTGGAATGTGGGAGCCACTGGCACCTGGCTCGGCTTTTTTTTTAAAATTATGTTACTGTAAAAAGTTCTCAGGCACATAGTTTATAAAAGTCATTCATACAACAAGAGCAAATCATTTTGAGTGAGATAAGCCAAGAGCAAAGAGACAAACGGCACATGGTCTCCCTGATATGTGGATGTTAAAGCCAAATGCAAGGAGATATGATAAAGTAAACAGGACTTGAGAAACAAAGGACAGCCACTCATTTTGTCATATCATTGCTAAATGACTCCATGTTCTTGACCATATACATGGTGTGTGTGTGTGTGTGTGTGTGTGTGTGTGTGTGTGTGTGTGTGTGTGTGTGTGTGTGTGTGTGTGTGTGTGTGTGTGTGTGTGTGTGTGTGTGTGTGTGTATGCACAGCTGAGGGAAGCTAGGAGGAAGACACAGAATCAGAGGGAAACAGGAAAACATACAACAGAGGGGCCCATCGGCTACACTGGACATAGATGAATATGAAATAAGCAGCTCAAAGGCAGCGATGGGAGGGAATGAGCGGTAAAGAAGAAACAGCTTACACTAAGCAAAAAGAAAGAAATGTAAATACCACCGGATGTGGAAGAAATAGTTGTATCGTCAAAGCTCAAAGAATTCACAAGCTTTATAGACCATGATAATGGCGATTTGCCTTGTGAAGGTTAAAATGTGTTGGTGACTTTAAGTATCACTATTCCACAATACTGTGAAGTATGTGAAATTTATATAATCACCTAATCTTTTTTTTTTTTTTTTGGGTCCGGTCGTGGGGCCTGAACTCTGGGCCTAGGCACTGTCCCTCAGCTCTTCAGCTCAAGGCTAGCGCTCTACCACTTGAGCCACAGCGCCACTTCTGGCTTTTTTCTTTTTGCTTATGTGGTGCTGGGGAATCGAACCCAGGGCCTCAGGCATGCAAGGCAAGCGCTCTACCACTGAGCCACCTTCCCAGCCCCTATATAATCACCTAATCTTAATAAAAAATTAAAAAAGAAATCTACTCTTTATCTGACTTACTTAATTATAACCCCCCAGTGTATCACCTTTACAATAGCAATGAAAATAGATTAAAAAAATAAAAATTTTTTCAAGTTAAAAAAAAAAAAGTCACCCATACACCGTAGGTGTAGCATCAAACCTGGGAACTGGCCTAGAGCACAGTGAATACAGATTCAGAAGTGCCCTCTGAGTCATCAAAGGATGCCCTCCTCAGGCTACACCATGAGGGGGTCACGGACATGGACACTCTGAAAACCTGTTCTTCTTGAACCTTCTGTGGAGGAGAAGCCAACTAGGAAGTAAACTGTGCCTGGCTGCCTGCCCTCCTTCCCTCCACCTCCTTTCAGCAATGCTAAACCTAGGAGCTTCTGTATGCCAGGAAAACACTTTACTACTGACCCATACCATTCGCCCATAGGCTACGCTGAAATTTTAGACAAGGCATCTCAGACAAAACCTCTCAGACAAAAGTCTCTTGAGGCTAGGAAACCAGGCAAAAGATTAACTATCTAATTTTACCAAGAGTACCTGGGTGGATTCCCCTCTTCGTGTGGGGAAATATCCCAAAGTTTGTGGACCTGTCAGAAAATGACATTCTTTCTTTCTGCAAGGCCAGGAACCCCGTAAGGGAATCACATAGATAAGACTCTGGGGAACTTTTTCCAAGAAGGGAATTTATTGGTCTGTTAGTGTTAGATCCTATCTGAAAATATGGCATCCCAGGAAAAGCTACTCTTTCTACTTGTGTCTCATTATAGGAACAGGTTCTTTTTGTGTGTGTGTGGTGCTGAGGCTTGAATCCACAGCCTTAGGCTAATTCTTCACTCAATTAGTTTCTTAGGGCCTTGCTGTTATTGTTTTTGAGACTGGCATGGTACAGATAGAAACTTCTGTGTCAGCACTTCCAGCTCCTTCTGACTGAGGCCCAGTCAGACCCCTGCTTTGGCATGTGGTAAACACTTGTTAAGGAGCTGTGGGAGGCATAATTAGGGCACCAGCTCGCCCTGCATCTGGAACCTCACTGAGCCTTTACACCACCACCACTCAGTTCTCACCCCACCTTAAGCAGTTAAGTTAGAGAAGGATGAAAAAACGGAGGCTCAGAGTAGCAGGACCAAAGGCATGTATGTCAGTAGTAAGGGAAGCACTGGGGTCCAAGCCCAGGTGTGGCTGCGCCCACCACCCACACAGCGGGCATCTGGAAATCTCATCTAGAAAGAGGTTTAGTTTAGGCAGGCTTGTGGATGGCAAGAAGTGAGGGGCTGGGAAGGTGGCTCAGTGGTAGAGCACTTGCCTTGCATGCTCGAGGCCCTGGGTTCGATTCCTCAGCACCACATAAGCACAAAGAAAAAAGCCGGAAATGGCGCTGTGGCTCAAGTGGTGGGGCGCTAGCCTTGAGCTGAAGAGCTGAGGGACAGCGCCCAGGCCCAGAGTTCAGGCCCCAAGACCGGACCCCCCACCCAAAAAAAAAAAAAAGAAAAAAAGAAAGTGAGAGGTGAGCTCACTAGCCCAGGAACACAGCCTGTGCCCCAGGAGTCTCCCTGCAGCGCCTACCTTCTTCAGAGAGGTTGTTCTCTTTGGTCTCCTTGTCCATCTGACAGCACCAGCCTTCGAGCCGCTCTGTTTCAGCCTGAAGCAGCTTCAGGAACCAGTAGCCATCTCGGCGGCAGGCCCCGGGCTGTGCCGGCTCTGCCGGGGAGCTGGAAGAGGTCTCGAGCCAGGGGTCCGGCGGGGGCAGCGAGGACGCCTCGAGGGCTGGGTCGCTGTTGTCTCCATAGGAGAGGTTGCGCTTGATCTGGGCAATCTTGGGGGCCTGCCGGGGGCCAGCATCGATGCTGATGGAGTTGGGGTGTGGTGGGGTACAGTCCGGGAGGCTCCTTTCAGATGACTTACAGCTTGAGTCATTGGCATCCTGGGTGTCGGAGTCAGTGTCCCGTCGGGAGGACATACTGTGAGAAGGGATGCTGCTTCTGTGGGTTGAGGGTAGTGGGATGGGGACAGAAGGGAGAGTGTCACCAAGAGAGCCAGAGACCAGAGGCCACCTGACCCGGACACACGGGAGACAGAGAAACGGATGCATCGTCTGCTCACCATGCGCCTGAAGCGGGTCCCACAGCCCCCGTCTCATTCTCGGCTCAGCCCTTGCCCCATTCCCCACACACGCACGCACACGCGCGCACACGCACACACACACACACACACACACACAAGGACAAGGTCATAAGGTTGTCTGTTTACTGCAGTGGGGCCAGAAAAACCACCAACATCACAGAGCAGCTGGGGCCATGTCCCAGCCCAGCCTTGACCCCGCCATGGCTGACTAATGTCAGAGCCAATGCTCATGTGTCCACCCGCTGGCCCCCTTGCCCGGCCTCCCATGCCCGGGACACCGCCCGTACCCAAACCCAGTTTGGTTATTAGAAGTCCAGCAAGGAGCAGTGGGTTAGGAGAGCAGGAGAGGTGAGGGCGGAGGGAGGGAAGGAGAGGGGAGAAGCAGCCACCACCTCTGCCCCACTTACCGCCAGTCGTCCTCTACCTGAACCCCGATGGACTGGAATTTGGTAGCGGGACTGGGCTCCTCTTTTGGCACTGGCTGAATGCAGTCAACCTTATTGAAGGACAATGACAGCAACGGCACGGAGACAAAGACAAAAATAAAAAACAAACACCACACTTGCTGCTGAAATTCACATTAGTGGGACGACGCAAACGGACGTGTGGACAGACGGACACGAGGCATGCAGACACTGCACACGGGCCCCAGGTGGGCCAGGTGAAGCCGGGCACTGCTCATTCGCGAGGAGGCGGGGAGGGGGTGGAGATGACTGGCTTTCCCTACTCTGAGGAGGGGGCCATCACATCGATCGCTTTGGGTCCGTTGTCCTCCGAGAGGTGGGAACCGTTCCTTCTAGTCCTCTCCTTTACACGTATCAGAGAGAAGAAAAAAAAAAGGACGACGGAAGAGAAAGAGAACACACACACACAAAGCCACAGCCGTTATCTGGTGTAGTTGGAGCTGGGGGCTCTCTTGAGGCAAAGATCACTCCCCCAACCCCGGGGCCGAAGCCTGGATGGGCTGCTGGAAGTGCCTGGACTAAGACACACAGTTCTGGGTTTAGAACTTCTGCCAAGGCAAAAGCCAGCAACGTCCCCCAACACTAGGATTCCATCCCTGGGCCTCCATCACACATGGGCACCTCTAGCACTGCGTGGTCCTGGGGAGGGCCAAGCCAAGGCAAGCTAACACTCCTCTCCTTTCTTTCTCTTTTTGCAGTGCTGGAGATTAAACTTAGGGCCTTGCACTTACTAGGTAGGTGTTCTGCCACTTAAGCCCTCAAAGGGGATGACACGGTACCAGCCATATCCATCTTTTCCAGGACACACTGTCCCTGGCCATGGAGCAGCCAGGCCGGGCCTTCCATCATGGCTCAAGAATAGGGAGACTCCACACCTGACCTGGTTCTGGAGGCACTAAGAAGTAGGATGAGGGCTCAGGAAGGTTCATTCCCACAAATGGGGGCTCCTGTATATCATGGGTGGAAGCTGGGGCCATGGAAGCTTTCTGGAGCAGACATCTTGGGAAGTGTTATCACCCTTCAACTGAGCTGCTGTGCAAGCATGGAACCGGGAAAGCCAGGGAAAAGGATGCTCAGGTTGGGCCAGAGGCTGGCATTGGTACCCCAGTGCATGCTGGGGGAAAAGATCAAGGGTGGTCCCAGCTGCTGCTCTTAGGCCTTCTGTGGCTTGGCCAGTGAGGTTGGGCTGTCCAAACAAAAACTTGGGTGATCAGAATCCTGGGCTCTTCTCTTCTTTAGTTTCTCTAAAACCCCACCTGGAGAAGCTGGACTTATAAAGAAGCCCAACTGGTTACAGACAGGAAAGTCTCCGGGCCAATTTCTTTCCTGCCCACCTGAGCTGCCTCTTAGGGGAAACACATCTAAGTGCATGTAAGGAATTCCCCAGTGAGCGTTCTCTGTTCCATTCAGTGCCCTTTGTGTGCCCATGTTCCTTCTGCATTTTAGTGCTTAGTCCAACATGGCTACGTTCACTTGCTTAGGAGTGTCTGAGGAAATCGAAATCCCTGTGGCTCAGAGACACACACTTGCCACCGTGTTCCGTGGAAGCTCCTATGGCATCTGGAAGGGTTCCAACTCCCAGAGTCCCTTCCCCACTATAGCCAGCCCTCCCTCACTCCTTGAGTGCTCTACTTTCTACTATGGTCTGCAGGTCCAGTGGACAGGGAGAGACCTCTCAATCTCCATTTAGAGCATCTCTTGGAAATATAAAGCAGGGCCCACATTTGCCCTGCTCAGCTGACAGAAAGCAGGCTTACAGAATTGAGAGCAGGCAGTGCCATGAGGCAGTGGAGGGAAAGCTGGGGCACTGCTCTGCCGTGCCACTGATAGGGGGTGTGCAGTGGGTCTGGCTTCTGGAAGGGCGTTCTGGCTTGGGCCACATGAGGAACCATCTGCTTGGACCCTCTCCCATGGCAGTAGGTTCTCACTTCTCCATCTGACATGCGTCTGGTGCCTCAAGCTACCTACCTGTTCCCAAGGCCTGAAAGGGCTCTGGGCAAAGTTCCCTTTGAACAACCCCCATGGCTCAAGGGCCCTGGGTCCAGAGGCCCCTGGCCCCTCGGCGTCTACGCTCCACGTTGTTCCCACTGCCAAGCAGGACTATGGCTTCCGCACCCGAGCTGACCTTGGATTAGAGAACCGTTAGGCCAGTCCTGCCTCCCAAGGGTCGGCTGGCAGGGCAGAGGGTGGAGTGGACAGACAGACAGTAGACAGCACAGTGGACAGGAGATGGCTGGCTGAGTGTAACTACATTCATGGGACAACCCACTGGAGGAGAAACAGCCCCACGGCTGCAGACTGCAGCATGGCAGGTGGACAGGAGGACGAAGTGGCTATGGGTGGAATTTGGTACAGCCACTTGGGGCTGACCCTCCCCCCCCCCCCAAATAGCCAGACAGACCATCTTTCCCAGGAGACCTAGTGGGCCTCCATGAGATGTAATTACACACAGGCAGGTGCACGGAGTGGACCGAGGACACAGTACAAAAGGGGCCCCTACTTGTATTCCTATTGATGACAGTTTTCTTTTGGGGATGGTCTCGGAGTGGGACTCAGAGCTGGTCAGTGTCCCTTGTTCACTCTTCAGAGTTGCATGTTTTGGGAGTGGCTCTGGGGCTTCAGGGGCTGGGGTGATTCCGCCCCGCGTCACACTGGGTGGTCGGGTACTGCTGTCCAGGCTGTCTGACGAGTTGCTCAGGCCTGATTGGCTCGTCACCTCACTCTTGTGGTCTTGGCTGTCTAGGTAGGTGTCCTGGGCAGACTCGGTGCTGCTCTGGACCGTGACTGAGATGAACGGCTTTGAAGTGGTTCGTGGAGGGACCGGTGGTGGGGTCTTCTTATATGCCACGAGGCATGATGAACCTACAGGTGGGTGAGAGGAGGGCAGGGAGAAAGTGAAGGCTTCGATGCTCTCTTGCCCCCCGAGGTTGAGTCCCTGCCTGCCCCTACCTCGCCCTGGCCTCCGTCATTCCCACAGGGAGGACTTCTAGTCACACACAGCCACAACCAAGACAGAAACACAAGCCCTGCCCACTCCATGCAAGACCAAGTCCAGCAGAGACGCAATACGAGCCAGAGTCCCTCCACCACATCCACACACAAAGGCCTAATCCAGTGGAGTGTGGGCTAGACGGCAGGGTGCGTGCTGCCACAGGCTGTGACGAGCCTGAGCCATGCCAGGAGCGGGACGGCGACAACAGAGCAGGACTCAGGTCAGCTAAGGGGCAGCTAACCTTTGCTTTCCTCAAGGTCACTGAGACCCACTGCTTGGCTGACCTGTCCCTTCTTTTCCACCTTCCCTGCCTGCTCCCTCTGGGTATGTGCCTCTCTCTACCTGGTAAGACTCAGCAGATCCCTCCCACCTTGCCATTCTCACCCATCTACTGCTCCTCATGTGAAAACCTGTGCCCTTGTCTGCTGCCACCAAGCCTCCTCCTTGCCTGGTCCCCAGGATGAGAAGACCCTTCAAAGTCCCTGCCCTGGTCCTGACGGCAGGAGCCAGGGGAGTCCTGCTTACCCTTCAAGGGCTACCCATGCTGGAGATGGTGCTGGCCCAAGGGCAACTCAAAACAAGGCCTGGTGCCATAAGGGACTGGGCAAGGAACAACAGAAGTCCTCCACCTGCCAGTCTGGGACGATGTGGCCCCAAGCTATCAGAATGGCTTCAAACTCAAGCAAGGTGCAGAGAGACCAAGTGACACCATCACCCCGGCAAAAACAGACTGCAACTTCTTATAGAACTTCGTGTTCAATCCCATACCACCAAGTAATTTAGGTATCTGTCCCACAGAGGAAACACGAGTGTCCAGGGCAGCTCTATTTGTAAGAGTTGGAAGACTGCACACAGTTGACCAGTGATTAGACGGACCGTGGCACATCCGCACCACAGAGTGTCACTCGGCAGCGAGGAGTGAACTACTGATGCGTACGTGCAACAACTGGGGTGAGTCTCAAGTGAATTACGCTAAGTGGAAAAGCAATTCCTAAAAGTTCCCTATCATCTGATTCTATTTTTACAACATTCTTGAGATGACCTAATTTTAGAGAAGAAGAACAGTTGCCAGACACTTGGAAAGAAGGCGATGAGTGGGACAAGAGGGAGGGAGGTATGGTTATAAAAAGGAAGTAGCCTGGGTGCCAGTGGCTCACCCCTGTAATCCTAGCTACTCAGGAGGCTGAGATCTGAGGATCATGGTTTGAAGCCAGCCTGTCTACAAGATACTTTCCCCCCTCCTCCCCTGGTACTAGGGCTTGAACTCAGGGCCTGGGTGTTATACCTGAGTCCTTTTGCTCAAGGCTAGTGCTCTACCACTGTGAGCCACAGCCCCACTTCTGGTTGTCTGGTGGTTTACTGGAGATAAGAATCTCACAGAGTTTCCTGCCTGGGCTAGCTATGAACAGAGGTCCTCAGATCTCAGCCTCCTGAGCAGCAAGGATTATAGGCGTGAACCACTGGTGCCCAGCTTTCACTTGCATTCTCTACAATCTCCCGTCTTACTGAGGCCTTGAAGAAGCTAAGAGCTTCCCCCAGATACACACCCCTGCAGCTTCTGGCTAGAAGGCTACCGGAGAGGAGGGGCTCAGGTCATCAGGAGAATAACCCCCCAAGACACCTTCCTCAGTGAGAAGCAGCGAGCCTGTTTGGGGAGAACAAGTTACCCAATTGTATTGGCCCTGTCAGCCAGACTGACAGCCTGAAGCTGGGTCAGTAAGCCGCGCTCAGGAGCTCTATGGCTTCGGAACCGAAGCGTCACAGGGACTGTGGCGTGGGGAACGGTGAATATAAGCACCCTACAGATGGGGCACATGCCATTCAGAAAGACTGGATAAGGTGCCCAGAGTTGCCAGTGGTCAGTGGCAACCAAACCTGCTTAACTACACAGCCCGCTTCCCTCTGCTTCCAGGTCCTGGGCTGGATGGGGCTGCAGGTGTGGGAGACCTTCTATTATCAGTGTCCCCAGAGCTGGCTCCTGGGCCCCTAGCTTACTTCTGGGGAAGGACGGGCCTAGACTGAAGGCTGATACCTGGCTTGCAGACCCTGGCTCTGTCCCAGGCAAGTTTTTACTTGCCCCCTGGCCTTTCTGGTACCCTCACCTGTTCAGTACACATAACCCCATCATGCCCTCATTGAAGAACTGGAGTATCCCTGTGACGGAGGGCAGGACCCTTGCTCTGCCTTTGCCTACTTGCCTGGAGTTCTGTCATCTGAGTCACTCCTTTGGTAGTAAGGGTGCTAAAGCCAGGAGGCAGCAGGAGCCAGACCTGAGTTCAAACCTGGCTTGGACATAATCAGCAGTGTGGGCCAGTGTCCTCGAAAAAAAGAGGCCAGGTTCAGCCTAGTCCAGGCTTGCTCTGGTTCTACTGCCTTGGAACAGAGGGGGCTGGGCCAGATTTCCATACTCCCAGCCACTGGTTCTCTGACCAGTCCCAAGGACAGGATGCTCAGACCAGCTGTTGGAGCCCACCCACCAGCCCCCCAGCACACAAAACTGACTCACCAGGATTTCAGGAAGGGATGTGCTTGGCCTAAAGTCCCAAAGAAGCAGGTTTGAGTGAAGAGGTCTGACCTGGATCAGAACTGAGAAGCCAGCACCAATCTGCTCAGAATGTTTTTGGGGAGGAATCCCTCCTTTAAGTGGTGATGAGGGGACAGTATGAAGGAGTCAGAGGTTGGCTGAGGGCTGAGGCAGGGACTCTGGTTGAGGGTCTGTGTTTTCTGTGTGTAAGGTGAAGCTGACATAGGGCACGAGGAACGCACGTGCGTGTGTGCGTGCGTGTTTGTGTGTGTGTGTGTGTGTGTGTGTGTGCGGTTGCTGCCAGGATATGGCAGGGAAGAGGCAGCTGGGGTTCAGGGTTGGGCTGAAATGGGCAGAGGTCTGATATTCAGCGGAGGCAGCCTGTCCTCAGTGGGAAAGAGAACAGGAGAACCAGATGGGATAAGAGGAAGGTGAATGTATCTTGGGTTGTGTGTCTTCTAGGTGTAGGTCATAGCCAATACTAGTGCGACTAGCAGAGGATTTGGGGGCCTCTAGGCTCCCTAGGAGGGCATGCATCCCTCTGCTTTGAGCCCTAACCCTGAGCTGAGGGATGGCCCCTGACCTCAGATAAGACTGCAGGGAAGGCAGGGCAACATTTCACCATCTGGAGTACTGCCAGCCCCTTATTCCAGCTCTCAAGAGTTTCAAGTCACTTCCTCTGACAAGTCCCTTCCCCCCCCCCCCATCTCTTCTGTCACCAGGAACTTCCATCAGGACACCTTTCCACATTTTTTTTTTTTTTGGTCAGTCCTGGGGTTTGACCTCTGGGCTTGGGTGCTGTCCCTGTGCTCTTAAGCTCAAGGAGAGTACTCTACCGCTTGAGCCACAGAGCTACTTCTGGTTTTCAGGTGGTTTATTAGAGATAAGAGTCTCACAGACTTTCTTGCCTAGGCTGGCTTTGAACCGCAATCCTCAGATCTTAGCCTCCTGAGTATCTAGGGTTACAGGCGTGAGCACCAGTACCTGGCTTTCCACGTTTTATGCAGGCTTTGGACCCGGGTTAGTAATGGTCCTATCTGGTCTTGTCTTTTTCTTTCTTTCTTCCCTCCCTCCCTCCCTCTCTCTCTTTTTTTAAAATTATTTTTTGTCGGTTGTGGGGCTTAAACTCTGGGCTTGGGCGCTGTCCCCGTGCTCTTCAGCTCAAGGCAAGTGTTCTACCACTTGAGCCACAGTGCCACTTCCGGTTTTCTAGAGATTTATTGGAGATAAGAGTCTCACGGACTTTCCTGCCTGGGCTGGCTTTGAATTGTGATTCTCAGATCTCAGCCTCCTGAGTAGCTAGGATTACAGGTGTGAGCCACCAGCGCCCAGCTATCTCTCTCTCTTTCACTCTCTCTCTCTCGTGGGGTTTGAACTCAGGACCTTGGTGATGTCCCTGAGCTCTTTTGCTCAAGGCTATCACTCTAGCACTTAGAGCCACAGCTCCACTTCCAGTTTTCTGGCTTTGACCTGTGATCCTCAGATCTCAGCCTCTGAGTAGCTAGGATTAGGAGGATTATAGGCATGAGCTGCCAGCACCTGGCCCTATCTAGTCTTGATATAAATAACTGTTCCATGAAAAAACAAACCTTGATATTTCTACCCAAAATCAAGATTATTTGGCTCCCAATATGTGTGTACACAGGGCTCCTCCTGGTCCTGAGCCCTTGCATGATCTCTGCTTACCCTTCTCACACCCGCCCCCATGAGTCCCCCTTCCACCTTCAGAGTCCCAAATCACTTCATGTACCTACTCCTGCTGGCAGCCTTTGCCTCCACCCCAGCCTTTTCTGGCTTAGGCAGTCAGCCCCTCTCCTTTCTCTATGCATCAGCGGAAGCACTCAGTGCTCGGGTCATGCCCCCGAGTGCGATTGTGTGTGTTGGTTACCCAGGGGGCACGCAGATATCAGCACACTTTAGAGGGATGCAGCCTGCATTCTCTAGGACTGACTGCGCGCACCTCCTCGCCTTGGAAAATGTTCTACATGCCGTAAATGACAACACAGCATGTGGTTCTGACTTTGAACATGGGCTGGAAAGTGTCTGGCTCTGTCTGGGTATGAGCACCTCACCAGTCTATCTGTCTGCTCCAGCTGGTCCCTGGACTCCTCCCCTCCCCCCCCCCCCCCCCCGCCCCTGCAACGATCTCAAGGGAGGCATCTGCTAAACCACAGCACAAAGAGCCTTCTGTTCCCCTGGGCTGCATGCTTGCCCACCACCCAACTCTGCCATGCAGGTCTTTCAGACAGGCAGCAGTTAAGTAACAGCCTCTATTCTGCACAGTCGGCCTCCACACTGACATCCAGCCCAGTTCCCAGCACACAAGTCCTTGCTTCTGCAAAATAG